TGTGGGTGAATACAAGATAAGAGGCCAAAGAGCTACACTTACACACATTCTCGTGTTGTTGTTAATAATACATGATTCATTGACTTGGTTTGTATTATTATAGGTAACTTGTTTAGATGATTTTTTTGTCATATGTATATAAATAAAATCTGAAATCTGAAAATGATAGAAGTAGTTAAACATCTTTTTAACAAAATTTCATGTGACAAAATATCGACAAACTATTCATACTTACTGGTAAACTTTAATAGTTGTCAGTTACAAATAATACAATATATATCACTTTCGAATAAAAAATCAATTCCAACTCGTTCCCATAGTTTATGACTTGTCTTTGGTAAACCAATATTTGAATGAATACTATTCAATAGAGTTAATAATCGATTTGTAGTTGACTTATCAAGATTAGCACCACAAATAAAATTAATTGAGGGTGGGTGTGGTCCTTCATTACTCACAACGTCGTAAAACGCTCTTTAATCATGTTTTGAATTCAAGGTGAATGCCATTTGCTTATCCACCCACATCTAAAATATTATTTATACCTTGAAATGCATGAGAAATGAAATCCTTAACCCTTCATATTGATTTGAGTTTTAAATTGATTTATTAAAAATAATGGTTTATTGAGTGAAAGTCTTTTAAGATAAAAATGAAAATCAAGGTTAAATATGTAGATATATGAATAGAATAGAATGATAGAAAAAAAATGAATGAGTCATTTATTCTGTCGAGTACAGGCAGTGAGAAAAAGACGCATATTGCTTGCTGTTGGTTGAAGAGTACCTACATTAATACGAATGGTATATGAACCACTAGGTATCAGTGTATTTTCTGGTTGTACATAAGTAATTTTTTGCCATACTTTTTGAGATGTGTTTGCTTGAGCAAGTACAATATTTTGAGGACTTTTCAGTTTGAGTGACACTTGATTATGAACAGTTTGTGAACTAGGCTCTGACCACCATACAACTACGTCGATTCTTTTCGATCCTTAGGAGTCGCTTGCCGAATCAGTAACAAAGTTGTTTTTGATATACTGATTAGCAGATAATGTTTGCTACGTGAATGTACATTGTCGTCAACCAAGTGAAATAAGACCTGCTCCAGTAGTATTTGTTACATGTAAACCATTTGCTATTGTTAAAATCTATGAATAGATCAGACCAGGCTCGGGATTTGCAGCACCACAATTGATAAGTTCTTTCTTGAGCATATACACTCTAAATAAAATCAGTATTCTCGGATACTCAATAAGAGTTTCCGTGTTTGTTACTATCGGAAACTCGTTAAGGGTTTCCGAACACCGGTTTCCGAACTATCGGACACCCATTAAAAACCCGTAGCTATACCATACAAAACCCTCAGTTCGGAAACTCAAAACCGGTTTCCGAACTACCGAAAAAACCGTAAAAAAACAATACCTATAAAATACTAGATATCCAGCTTAGAAACTCAGCAAAGGTTTCTAAGCTGAAAATATCTAGTTTCTGTGATGCACCTTGCAAACTGTAGCATCACACTCACACCTTGACCCACATCTAATATACTACCTATAGCTGGTTCTCTCGGCCAAACATTTGCAAAATTCCACAAGAAGTACTATAATAAATGAAAATAAAATCATAATTATTAATTTAAAATGTATAACTTACCAAATATATGAATATCTTTAGGCAAAATTCGAACTGTAAATAAAAAAAGAAGAATAATAATTATTTTTAATTTGTAATTCATATAACTTACCAAGTGAATGTATATCTTTGAACGAAAAGGAAATCCTAAATAAAAAAGAAGAACAATAATTATTTTTAATTTATAATTCATATTGCTTACCAAGTGGATGAATATCTTTGAGCAAAAGTGAAATCCTAAATAAAAAACAAGAATAATGATTTATTTAATTTCTTATTTATATAACTTACCAAGTGCGTAAATATCTTCAGAAGAAAATCTAATCCTAAATAAAAAAGAAGGTTTTTTTATTTTTAATTTTTAAGAAATATGACTTACTAAACGTATGAATATGCTTGAATGAAAATCTAATTCTAAATAAAAAAGCATAAGATTTATTATATTTAGTTTCTTATTTATATAACTTACCAAGTGTAAAAATATCATCGAACGCAAATTAAATCCTAAATAAAAAGCAGAAGAATAATTATTTTTAATTTCTAATTTATATAACTTACTAGACATAAGAGTATCTTTTACTAAAAATATCAATCTAAATAAAAATATAGAAGATTTATTATTTTTAATGTCTAAACTACATAACGTACCAAACATATGCATATCTTTGAATGAAAAGAAATCTAAAGAGAAAAAGTAGATTATGAGTTTTTTTCATTTTTAAAATATATTACTTATTGTCAATGTCTCGTTAAGATGAGGCCAAATTATAGTTTAGTTACAATTATTCAGTGATAATATCTGACAGGGTTTGTTAAATGAGAACCACAAATTTTTATTGAAAGAAACGATGAAGAGAAAAAAAGTTTTTTAAATGAAAAACTTGTATTAGTAAAGAATAGTTATGTTTTTATGATTGACTCCTATCGAAATACTACAATGAAAATAAGGCTGCTCTATCAATAAAAAAAATTAAAAAGGACATGAAAAAGAAGGAAATGAAAATCTTTTTTAGTGTAAGAAGTGGAAAAGAAATTCCTTCATTTTAATAAGAAATAAAGGGGAGCATTGAACAAGTTTTACTCATTCTGCTTTTTCCATTTCAATTATGATTTGCGACGAGTTGATCGAGTTGGTCGAGTAATTCGAGTGGCTTTTTTGTTGCTGGAGTATTTTCATCATATGATGCCTGTTCATCGAGTAGCTGATCTGCCTTTCTTTTATGACTGATTTGCGGATCAATTGACATTAGTTCTGCTTGATATATTTGAGACACATTTGTTATTTGTGCAGGACTATCTTGTTTATCGTCAATAATTAAATTCTCGTCGTTTTGTTCAGTTTCTTTATTTAATGGTGGATCAGTATCTTCTGTTTCTTCAAGACGATGGATTGGTGATGATGAAGGTTTATCTTGAAGTTCAATGTTGTATTCTTTACAAAATTTTCGAATACAATTTGACTGATGTTGTTTTTCATTTAAAAATATAACAATGAGTCTAGAATATTTCGACAACATGAAGCAGTTTTT